AAAAGCAACACACGCCGAGCATCTTCCCTTGTAATGACTAAACCTTTTGTCCAACAACAAAAAAGAACATTATAACATTCTTTTACTGCACAACATCAGACAAATGTTTAAAAAAATTTCCTTCTTGATCTGATGTGGCTTCTCATCACAGAATGACGCAGAAATATATTCTACACTGGAATAACGGCTAAATCGATTAGCAGTGGATTATAAATATAACGTTACTTAATTATTAAAATACTCGAGGTGGTTTTAAGAACACAGATAAACATTGTCCAGGGATTAAAGTTCTCCGTCGCTACGACAGATTTCCGTTAATTGCAGCGAGTCTACGACGGATTTCCGTCAGTTGGAAAAAATGAGGGGAAAAGAAACATTTAGCGCGTTGTTGTTGTTGTTCTGCCGGCTGGCACACCAGAGATCATCCCCGCTACGGTTGCAGCTTCTCAGTGACAACATAGTGACGCCGCTCGCATCATTCACAGTCGGGTTGTTAGCAGAGAACACAGAGCAGGACTTGAATTTCGGTGCGGCATTGCGGCTATTAATAACAATTCTACTCATTCCCGCAGGTTCCGCGCTTATAACGCGATGACAGATGACTGAACGTATCATTTGCACGTGCTTTTGAGTCTTGAGAACTCACTCGCGCACTCTCATTTTCTGTGCGCCCACAGATCGCGAGACGGAATTTATCATTTGCACATACTTTTGAGTCTTGAGAACTCTCATTTTCTGTGCACCCACAGATCGCTATAAGGAGAGTGACAGATTTTAATAATTATTCAAGGAGTTTGCAAATGTGATATTGATTTAATACAACAGTTCAATAAACAAGTACTGCCTAATTTTGCTCTATTTCTTCAACGAAAATCGTTCCAAATATAGTAACAGCTCAGCCGCTGCTCATCGCTAAAAGCAAACACAGCGGTGTTTAATTCGTTCAATGAAAGTGCGTTTTTGAACGAATCTAGTGAGTCAGTGATTCATTATTACCCATTCATAAAGACAGTCACTTGCTTCATTCCTGAATGAATGAGCCGTTCGAACGAATCAATTGAATGAATGATTCAGTGATAAAATCAGTGATTTGCCGCCACCTGCTGGCGGTTTCAGTTTATCTTTTAGGTATAATTGCAGTTATTTAAATCATTTAATATTTCTAT